CGGTGGTACGCACCGTGCGAGCCCCGCGCTGTCGCGAGCTGCCGGTGCAGAGGTGGTGGCACAAGGGCGCCCTCTACCGCATCGGCGACCTTCAGGCCTTCGTGGGCAGCGACGAGGGCAACCTAGCGGGTGAGTGCGGAGCACACCCCCCATTCCCCGAGCGCCCCTAGTTTAATCTGGACCCTCTTCGCGTACCCAGAGGGACCCAGACAGCCTCAGACGGTTCTCCACCGCACCCAGTAGCCGAGCCTTCTCCCCGACACCCAGTCCCTCCTCCTTCCTTTCTTTGAAGAAACCGATCGTCCTCATTACTCTTTCACGGGATGGCTGACTCAGCGTCCTCCCTTCCCCCACGGCGCCAGGAACTAGTCTCGACCAGTTTCTGAAGTAATGTGTAGACTCCTTACATCAGCTCCTTTGAGTCTTGTGATCTGGCCCCCCCACCCCTCCCTTCCCCGCTCCTTTAGGAACAGGGCGAGAGGAGGAGATGGAGGGAGATCAGGGGCCTCTCAAAGGGGTCGCATCTTAACCCAGCTCCTGTTTCAGGTCTGAAGGGTCATCTTGATTACCTGAGCACTCTAAAGGTGAAGGGCCTTGTCCTGGGCCCAATTCACAAGAACCCGAAGGATGATATTGCCGGGACCAACTTGGAAGAGATCGACCCCACTCTTGGCTCCACGGAAGATTTTGACAATCTCCTGCAATCAGCAAAGAAAAAGAGTGGGTGTCTTCTGAATGTTCCCAAAGAAAGAGCAGAGGTCTGAGGCTGTCCTGTCTTTGTTCCCCTGTGCCGCTCACCCAAGTGGCAAGGATTGGGCCTTCTGTCCAGAGAACAAGCTGGATGGGAATTCTGTCCAGTGTACTAAAAAGGATTATTCATTTGGTTTGGGGGCTTGCTATTTGTGCAATCTTGAGCAGATCCTTTTTATTTATACTTTTTTATTACAGTGCACATGTGCTGGTGAAGAAGAGAGACAAAGGGAGAGTTAGAGGGAGAAATCACCCCCCAGAGGGCATGGTCACTCCATGAATCCTTTCTCCATTCTCTCGAGATTTTGGGCAAGCATGAACATGTGACGTGCCAGGAATGTTTTTCAGGCTGCTGAGTCTGAGACGTGAACTTTGCAGTTGGCCATGTGGAATCCAGTGCCTTAGTGACTATGCTGCCCCTTGAGCAGATCTTTTTTAACTTCTGGACTTCAGTGCCCTTATTTGCAAAATGTAGGCTTTTTATTATATCAGTAGTTTTAAAATTTGTAAGACAATTGCTCCTTTTGGGGGGGAAAAAATCCCAAATACTATCTTTCAATTCAACGTAGAAATATTAATGAAAAGAGTTCACTCTGATGGTGGGGAGGCCAGGGTCCTAGAGCCTTTACTGCACTGCAAACCTTCTGCCTTAAGGTCCTTCCTCGCTAGTATATATGTTTCAATGGAATGAGTTTTGCCAAGGTTCAAATTCAAGGTTTTGTACTAAGTAATACGTAGGAAACATTCAACAGACTTGGGTTTGTTGATTTCTCTGCTTTTTCCTCCATTGCTCTAGGTATCCGTGTCATTCTGGACCTCACTCCTAACTATCGTGGCCAGAACTCGTGGTTCCTGCCCACTGACGTTACCACTGTGGCCACCAAGGTGAAGGTGAGTGTGTTGGAGCTGATGGCAGGTGGGAGCCAGATGCTGGGGCTGTGTCAGTACTTTCACAGAAAGCCCTGCAAAGCTGGCCCAACTCCAGCTGAGGGGCCCCTCGGCTCTCAGACCAAAGCAGGAACGCCTCTTCCCACAGCCAGGAGGATAGGCCAGCAATGCCCCACTGTTTTTCCTGTTTCTTTTCTGACTACTCATTTTTCTCGTTTCCTTGACTCTGGGGATGAGATAGGTCCAGGAAGGGAATTTCTCAGATACCAGTCTAGAAATTTGACTTTTCTTCCTTTTGAGAAAGGAAGCCCTTTCTCTGTGGGAGTCCTGTCCTGGTTTCCCAGTTCTTGTTTGATGTATTTGGAGTGAAGCCCAGTCTGAGGTTGTGAGCATGGAGTGGGGGGGAGGGTCTTCCTAAGTGTTGAATTATGCTGAGTATTTTATAGATGCTTTCTAATTCCCATGTAACCATACAAGGTATCTGTTATTATTCCCAATCTACAAGAGAGGAAGCTAAGATTGGAAGGGGCTTCACATACTCGAAGTTCTAAGTAGTCTGACTTTTCTAGTCTGCTTTTCCCAGAGGTATAGACTCAAACTTTATGCCCAGGGGGACTTTGAATGTCACTCTAGTTCTTGAGGCCTGGATCCTAGGACACTTACAAGTTCAGAATGGGTAGAATAAAAACAGTGGCAGATCCTGATAATTCACTGCTAGCTATGATTCTAGGTAGAATTTTGGACTCCCAGCATTTGAATAGGGCCCCTGGGGTTATCCAGTTCAACCCTTACCAGTTGCTGGGAAACTTTAAAAGTTATTGATAAATGTTTTCAGACAGTATGGCAGGAAGAGTGGCAGCCTCAGAAGAAAATGGAGACTGGGGAGAGAGCACGTGGAACAGAGAAAGGGAAGAAAAGGGGACGTGCGTGTCGGCCTCTTGGTGTGGAGTCTGGCCTGGGCCTGTTCTGCAGAGCTGGCCTCTTTTCAAATTTTCATCTAAACTGCTCTGGGGCTGTGCTTTGAACTTCAGTCTCCTCAACCTTGCTCTGACTAGTTCTTGTGCTCACACTTTCTAGGCCTCAGGGTGCTGGGCAAGGATTAAGTATGCTTGCCTCGAGATTCTTTTTTTTTTCCCCTCTTCTTTTTCTTTATTTAGTTTTATTTGTTGTTATTATCTTTATTTTTAATTTGACCAAAGAGACAGAGAAAGAGAGAGAAAGGAAAAGCAAGAAAGAAAGCATCCTGTTTTGGGAATCGGAGACCTGAACCGTGGCCGGCTGGCCATGTGGGAGTTCAAGACCTCAACTGTCATGCCACTTGCTGGCCCCAGCCTTGGGATCCTTTTTATTTGAGTTTTATTTATTTATTTATTTTTTTAAGTTTGTCATAGGCATATCACTCACCAGAGAGAGATTATGGGACAGAGAAGGAAAGTGAAAAATCTCACCCTGGTGGCTTGCTATTTGTGCAATCTTGAGCAGATCCTTTTTATTTATACTTTTTTATTACAGTGCACATGTGCTGGTGAAGAAGAGAGACAAAGGGAGAGTTAGAGGGAGAAATCACCCCCCAGAGGGCATGGTCACTCCATGAATCCTTTCTCCATTCTCTCGAGATTTTGGGCAAGCATGAACATGTGACGTGCCAGGAATGTTTTTCAGGCTGCTGAGTCTGAGACGTGAACTTTGCAGTTGGCCATGTGGAATCCAGTGCCTTAGTGACTATGCTGCCCCTTGAGCAGATCTTTTTTAACTTCTGGACTTCAGTGCCCTTATTTGCAAAATGTAGGCTTTTTATTATATCAGTAGTTTTAAAATTTGTAAGACAATTGCTCCTTTTGGGGGGGAAAAAATCCCAAATACTATCTTTCAATTCAACGTAGAAATATTAATGAAAAGAGTTCACTCTGATGGTGGGGAGGCCAGGGTCCTAGAGCCTTTACTGCACTGCAAACCTTCTGCCTTAAGGTCCTTCCTCGCTAGTATATATGTTTCAATGGAATGAGTTTTGCCAAGGTTCAAATTCAAGGTTTTGTACTAAGTAATACGTAGGAAACATTCAACAGACTTGGGTTTGTTGATTTCTCTGCTTTTTCCTCCATTGCTCTAGGTATCCGTGTCATTCTGGACCTCACTCCTAACTATCGTGGCCAGAACTCGTGGTTCCTGCCCACTGACGTTACCACTGTGGCCACCAAGGTGAAGGTGAGTGTGTTGGAGCTGATGGCAGGTGGGAGCCAGATGCTGGGGCTGTGTCAGTACTTTCACAGAAAGCCCTGCAAAGCTGGCCCAACTCCAGCTGAGGGGCCCCTCGGCTCTCAGACCAAAGCAGGAACGCCTCTTCCCACAGCCAGGAGGATAGGCCAGCAATGCCCCACTGTTTTTCCTGTTTCTTTTCTGACTACTCATTTTTCTCGTTTCCTTGACTCTGGGGATGAGATAGGTCCAGGAAGGGAATTTCTCAGATACCAGTCTAGAAATTTGACTTTTCTTCCTTTTGAGAAAGGAAGCCCTTTCTCTGTGGGAGTCCTGTCCTGGTTTCCCAGTTCTTGTTTGATGTATTTGGAGTGAAGCCCAGTCTGAGGTTGTGAGCATGGAGTGGGGGGGAGGGTCTTCCTAAGTGTTGAATTATGCTGAGTATTTTATAGATGCTTTCTAATTCCCATGTAACCATACAAGGTATCTGTTATTATTCCCAATCTACAAGAGAGGAAGCTAAGATTGGAAGGGGCTTCACATACTCGAAGTTCTAAGTAGTCTGACTTTTCTAGTCTGCTTTTCCCAGAGGTATAGACTCAAACTTTATGCCCAGGGGGACTTTGAATGTCACTCTAGTTCTTGAGGCCTGGATCCTAGGACACTTACAAGTTCAGAATGGGTAGAATAAAAACAGTGGCAGATCCTGATAATTCACTGCTAGCTATGATTCTAGGTAGAATTTTGGACTCCCAGCATTTGAATAGGGCCCCTGGGGTTATCCAGTTCAACCCTTACCAGTTGCTGGGAAACTTTAAAAGTTATTGATAAATGTTTTCAGACAGTATGGCAGGAAGAGTGGCAGCCTCAGAAGAAAATGGAGACTGGGGAGAGAGCACGTGGAACAGAGAAAGGGAAGAAAAGGGGACGTGCGTGTCGGCCTCTTGGTGTGGAGTCTGGCCTGGGCCTGTTCTGCAGAGCTGGCCTCTTTTCAAATTTTCATCTAAACTGCTCTGGGGCTGTGCTTTGAACTTCAGTCTCCTCAACCTTGCTCTGACTAGTTCTTGTGCTCACACTTTCTAGGCCTCAGGGTGCTGGGCAAGGATTAAGTATGCTTGCCTCGAGATTCTTTTTTTTTTCCCCTCTTCTTTTTCTTTATTTAGTTTTATTTGTTGTTATTATCTTTATTTTTAATTTGACCAAAGAGACAGAGAAAGAGAGAGCAAGAGAAGGGGAAAGTGAGAAAGCAAGCCACTGGATCTGAGACCTGAACCGTGGCCGGCTGGCCATGTGGGAGTTCAAGACCTCAACTGTCATGCCACTTGCTGGCCCCAGCCTTGGGATCCTTTTTATTTGAGTTTTATTTATTTATTTATTTTTTTAAGTTTGTCATAGGCATATCACTCACCAGAGAGAGATTATGGGACAGAGAAGGAAAGTGAAAAATCTCACCCTGGTGGGTTTTGGGTACATATGCACTCAAGCCTGGTTTAAGTTTAAAAAAAAGTATTCATTTATTCTGAGACAGACAGACACACACACACCACACACACACACACACAGGGAGGAGGAGGAAAAAGGGGAGAGACAGGCACCCTTAACAGGGTCCTTACACTACAGCCAACCCCTAGTCTTAGCTGACTTGGATCATAGGCACGAATGCATGCCTGGCATGCTCAGGGAAGTCCTGGGGCAGGACCTCAAGGATCTTTCCCTGTGGTTCCAGTCATGTTACCATGTTACTACTGTGCCATCACCTGGCCCTTACCTTGTAGTTTGTTTGTTTGTTTTAGAATTAATTATTTAATTTTAATTTGCCCAGAAAGAGATATATAGAGACAGAAGGCAAGTGAGAAAGCAAGCTGCCAGGTCCAGGACTCAAACCACTGTCACCTTGTGGGAGCCAAGCACCTTAACACCATGCCACCTGCCAGCTCCCTATCTTGGGATCTTGACTGGCATTTTAGGTCCTATCTCTGCTGCTCACTGATTATGCCCTTGGACATGTCTCCTTGTTTCTGTGGGCCTGTTTCTTCATTTCTAAAATAGATATACTATACTAGCATTCCATATGCTAACTGTTAGATGACTTATATTTGGGCTAGCCCGTGTCATGGTGGTTAAGGTGGCTGGATTCACCATGGCCGACAGCATGGTGGCCACACGGTGACTGGGTGTAGGTGCATGCATACCCAAAATCCTGAAAGGAGGGAGAAGAGGAAAAGGGATTGTGGCATAGTGGTACTTTCTCATATCCCCCTCAACCCTGCCCCATCTCTCTGTTGAGTACATGAACCCTTTGGGAAACAAACAAAAAATGAAATAATGCTTATGGGAACACTTTTTCTCTTGGACCATTTCTGTAGTTGTGTGATTGGCTTGAGGCAGGAATAGAGAAGTAAAATGCTATAGCACTAGGAGAATCAATGAGATGTCAGAGCTGGAGGGAACCAAGGCAAAGCCTTTGTATTAGAGATGGGAAACTGAGATCCAGGCAAGGCCGATGACTCTACTGAAGTCATGGGAAGGTGCTTTTGGAGGACAAGGTATGACATGGGCTGGGATTGTCCAGGTTATTACCTGAGAATCGATAACTTTCTTCTGTTCTCTTGCCCCCCTGTAGGATGCTCTGGGATTTTGGTTGCAGGCTGGTGTAGATGGGTTCCAAGTCCGGGATGTGGAGAATCTGAAGGTGAGTTTGTATTTCATACGAAGGGCAAAGCTTGGGTGAGACCAGAGGGACTCAGCTACAGCTTAGAAATGTTCCCTGTTTGTTGATTCTGCTTTTTCCCTCTTAGGATGCATTCTCACTCTTGGCTGACTGGCAGAACATCACCAGCAGCTTCAGTGAAGATAGGTGGGTGCCCAAGCCCCCTCCTTGACTCAGCTCCTTTGTAGAAACCTCTCAGTGGAGTGCTAGGGCCTTGAGGGGGGCAGGGTTTCTAATCCAGAGAACTTCCTTCACCACCGTTCTTCTTTTCCTGCTCTCTACTAATGCTGATCTCTACTCTGCCCTGTGCAGGCTCTTCATAGCAGGAACCAACTCCCCTGACCTGCAGCAGATCATGAGCTTACTGGGATCCACCAAGGACCTGCTATTGACCAATTCATACCTGTCAACTCCTGGTTTCACTGGGGAGCACACAAAATTCCTTGTCACCCAGTATTTGAATTCCACTGGCAGTCACTGGCGCAGCTGGAGTGTGAGTATCCGGCTAGTAGGAGTAGGGGCAGGGGACTTTGGGGGGAAAGGGTTGTTGGGAGATGGAGGAAGTGGTCTGCTAGGCTCACCAGTGTCTGTCCCTGCAGTTGTCTCAGGCAGGTCTCCTGAGTTCCTTCATACCAGCTCAACTTCTTCGACTCTACCAACTGCTGCTCTTCACCCTGCCGGGGACCCCCATTTTCAGCTATGGGGATGAGATTGGCCTGCAGGTGGCTGCTGTTTCTGGCCAGGTACTACTTGCTATGTGCCTAACACAGAGAGGGAGGTTGTGTTCATACGATGGTTGTGTGGATAAGGGCCAACAGATTTGAGTCTTGGTGTGGGAGTGTATTTGATTCCTAGGCAGTTCTCTGGTCAGTAGCTGTGTAGCTTTGGGCCAGTTAGTTATCCCTTTGGATATTGGTCATCTCTTCTGTGAGACTGAATTTTTTTGTTGGATGGTTAGGATTGAATGAAGGCATATTTTATGATGCCTGATATATGGTAGATGTTTAATATGGTAGTGATCATTCATCCATTCATTCATTTTTGGCAGTGGGTACTCTGCTAGGCTCTATGCCCCACAGCCATCATTCATTCATTTATTCATTCATTGGGTAGTGGGTACTCTGTACTGGGCTCTGTGCCCTCCAGGAGCTCATAGTTCAATGGGGTGATGAGTAAGCTAACACATTAAGAGTTGTATGTGCTGTGATAGGGATATTGTCACAAAGGCGGTCACTGACTTGAACTACAGGACTGGAGTTAATGCTTGAGCTGATGTTTATATAACCATTCATCTATTTATTCCAGATTTTTATTCTTTTACTTATTTATTTATCTTGAGAGGTTTTTGCTATAGGCTGTGTGCGCTCACCAGAAAGACAGAGAGAGACAAAGAGACAAAAAGTGAGAAATCACCCCCTGGGGGGGGGTGGGATGGCCACGCTGCAATCGCTTCTCTTGGGATCTTGAGAGCACGCACGCACACATGCCCAGCGTGAATTTAAGCCACCGGGTCTGAGACTCGAACCACGGTTGACTACATGGGAGTCCAGCGACATAGCCATTAGGCCAACTGCTGGTCCCTTATTTTTCTTTTTAAAGAATTATTTAATTTAATTAATTTATTTATTTCGATTTAACCAGAGAGGGACAGAGTGAGAGAGAGACAAAGTGAGAAAGCAAGCTGCCAGGTCTAGGACTCAAAACTGCAGTCAGCCATGTGAGAGTCCAGTGCCCTTAACCACCATGCTACCTGCTGGCCCCTAGATATTTATTCTTAACTCCTTTGTGCTACATATTGGGGAATACAGAGAACAGTACACAAAAGAGCAGGAGGTGGTGTAATTGAATACATACTCGAATAGAAACATGCCAGGTGCTATGCAAAAGAAAGCAAGGTAAAGGACCTGGAGACTAGGGATGGGGTAGATTTTATGCAGAGTGGCCACAGAAAGCCTGAGGACATAACTGAGCAGAGACCTGAGGAAAGTGAGGAAGCTACTGATAGTGTCTTTAAAAGCCTTTTTTTTTTTAGAGGTTTTTGCTATACTGCACGTGTGCTTGGTAGAAAGACAGAGAGACAGAAAGAAAGTGAGAAATCACCCCCCAGGGGGGATGGCCACGCTGCAATCCCTTCTCTTCTGTTCTCCTCTCGGGATCTAGGGCGTGCACGCACAAATGCGCAATGTGAGTTTAAGCCACTGGGTCTGGGACTCAAACCGCGGTCAATTACATGGGAGTCCAGCGACATAGCCATTATGCCAACTGCTGGTCTCTAAAAGCTATTTTTTAAAAGAGTTATTTAATTAATTTTATTGTTATTATTATCTTTTAATGTGACCAGAGAGAGACAAAGCAGGAAAGTAAGAAAGCAAGCCACTAGTTCTGGGACTTGAACTGTGGTTAGCCATATAGGAGTCCAGCACCCCAATCACCATGTCACCTGCCAGCTTCTTAATGGCTTTTGACTGGCTGGCAGGGATACCTTTAGGCTGAGGGGACAATATGTGTGCAAGGACCTTGAAGCTGGAGCCTACCTTACTTGTCCAGTACAAGTTAGCCAGGCGTGGTGGATGTTAGGCATTGATGAGGAGGGAAAGCAGATGCAGGCCAAGGCTTTTTCAAGTCCTGTTTTCCCTGTTTTTTAGCCTATGGAGGCCCCTGTCATGCTGTGGGATGAATCCAGCTTCTCAAATGTCTCAGGATTCCTAAGTGTCAACAGGACTGTGAAGGTAAGGGTTCCGGAGGAGTAAGGCCTGACTGACATGATGGGCAGGTGGCTTGTGGAAGTTGAACCCAGGGGACCCACTCACCCACTCCTGCTCTGTTTTCATCATTCTCAGGGCCAGAGCGAAGATCCTGATTCCTTCCTTTCCCTGTTCCGGCGGCTGAGTGACCAACGGGGTAAAGAGCGCTCCCTGCTGCATGGGGACTTCCACGCACTGTCTTCTGAGCCTGCACTCTTTTCTTATGTCCGCCACTGGGACCAGAACGAGCGTTTCCTGGTGGTGCTCAACTTTGGGAATGTGGGTGTCTCTACCAGCCTGGCAACCTCCAGTCTGCCTGCCAGCACCAGTCTGCCTGCCAGTGCCGATGTGCTGCTCAGCACCCAGCCAGGCCGTCAGGAGGGCACCTCCCTTACGCTGGAACGCCTCCACCTGGAGCCCTATGAGGGGCTGCTGCTCCGCTTCCCCTATGTGGCCTGACCCCAGCCTGACAAGGACCCACTACCCTTTCCATCTTCTCCCCCAGGCCCTTTGGGTTCTGTTCTCCCCCTCCTTTCTTCCTTTTTTTAATGTTGAAGATTACAGATGAACTCCCAAATAGGTTATCTTCCGCTTTTAAATAAAAGTCACAAACCCTGTCTGGTGAGGTATTTTCTTCCCTCCACCCTGCTATCTCAGGAATCTCCCCCACCTCTGCTCTCCTAAACCTGCTCCACAGTGGTCCTGGCCAGAGTTCCACATTCTGTTCATGTAGGGATCAAGACCCAGAAAGAAAGGAGCCACTTTATTTTTTTTTTTTTTTTTTTAGGTTTTTGCCATGGAGCACTGGAGAGAGACACAGAGAAAGAAAGTGAGAAATTACCCCCTTGGGGGATGGCCACGCTGCAACCCCCTCTCCATTCTCTTCTCAGAATTTCGAGCATGTCCACACACCTGGCATGATTTTCATGCCTTGGAGTCCGGGGCTTGAACTGTTCTCAGGCGTGTGGGAATCCAGAGCCTTAGCCACTAGACCATCTGCTGGCCTTGAACAGTGCCTTGTAAGTCAACAGAAAGAAGGTATCAGAGCTGGGACCCACGTCCATGCCACCTCCTCACTAAGGTTGGTCTGGGTAGTCTCTTCAAGGTTTTGGGTCTTGCAGACTTTTATTTTTAAAGAATTATTTTCTTGGGGCTGGCAGGTGGTGTGGTGGTTAAGAGTGCTGGATTCCCACATGACCGACAGCATTTGAGTTCTGGACCTGGTGGCTTGCTTTCTCACTTTCTCTCTCTCTCTCTCTCTTGCACTCTGTCCCTCACTGGCCAAATTAAAATAATTGGATGAATGAATGAATGAATTAAAGTTTAATAAAATAATTCTTAAAAAAAAAAAAGAATTATTTGATTGAACTTTATTTGTTTTAATTTGACCAGAGAGGGATAGAGCAAGAGAGAGAGGGGAAGTGAGAAAGCAAGTCACCAGGTCTGGGACTCGAACCGCGGTCAGCCACGTGGGAGTCTAGTGCCCCAACCACCGTGCCACCTGCTGCTTCTGCAGATTTTATGATTATTGTTGTTATTTAGTTTGTTATGGGGCACCTGTGCTCACCAGAGATAGAGAAAACAAGATAGCATGCTGCCAGGTGTGGGACTCGGAACTGTGCTTGCCCCTGTGGGAGTACAGTGCCTCAACCACCACACCAGCTGCTGGCTAGGGCACATGTGTTGGCTAGAGAGGGACAGAGACAGGGAGAAGGAAAGTGAGAAATCATCCCCTGGGGGAATGGCCATGCTGCAATTCTTTCTTTTCCTAGAATCCTGGGCATGCACACACTTGTACCTGGCATAATTTTCAAGCCACTCAAGGGACTTGAACCACAGTTGGCCATGCGGGTGTCCAGCAAAATAACCACTATGCCGTCTACTGGCTCCTCAGACTCTTCTTTTACCTTAGTAAAGATTCCAGCCAAGCATGGTCAATTTTTCTATTTTTGCAGACTTGGCCTTTTAGGGACAGAGGGTAGGGACATGATGACCAGGTTCCTAAAAGGCACTAGAAGTCATTTAACAAGAGTTAAACACTCAGCGTGTGCCAGGATCTACATCAGAGTATAGTGGGAAACAAAGTACAGCATTTTCTGCTTCTTTGGGCCTTGTATTTTCATGGGAGGGAGAAGAAGTAAGGTGAATAAAACCTACAGTATGGTGGAAAGGGAAAAAAGTAAAGCAAGAAATATGGTGGTAGAGGGCTTTTGAAGTGGGCGCTAGATGAGGCCTTACCAAGGTGACTTTTTAAAGTAAGAGCATTCTTTAAAAAGTTTGGGAAACAACAAAGTGGATGAACAATTTAAACATTTTTTGCACCAAAGTAAATTTGGACTTTTAAAAAATAGTTTTATGGGGGACCAGTGGGAGGCATGGTGGTTAAGGGTGCTGGACTCCCACATGACCAATTGTGGTTTGAGTCCCAGATCTGGGACTTTCTTGCTTTCTCACTCTCTCTCACTCTGCTCCACTAGTCAAATTCAAATTTAAATAAATAAAGTTAAATTAAAACAAAGTTTTGTGGGGCCAGCAGATGGTGTAATGGGTAAGGTGCCAGACTCCCACATGGCAGTTTGAAAATGTCAGGTATGGGGACCAGCAGTTGGAGTAACGGCTATGTTGCGGGACTCCCATGTAGTCAAGCACAGTTCCAGTCCCGGATCCAGTGGCTTAAACACATGCCAGGCACGTGCGCGTGCGTGCCTAAGATCCCGAGAGGAGAAGGAATTGCAGGGTGGCCATCCCCCCTGAGGGGTGATTTCTCACTTTCTATCTCTCTGTCTCTGTCTTTCTGGTGGGCGCATGTGCCCTATAGCAAAAAACCTCTCAGAAAATAAATAAATAAAGAAAATGCCAGGTATGTGTGTGCACAGTTGCCCAAATCACAGGAGAAGGGATTGTAGCATGGCTATAACCCCTGCGGGGTGATTTCTCACTCCCTTTCACTGTTTCTGGCTAGTACACGCACTCTGGAAAAAAAAACTAAAAAAAAGTTTTGCCAGAGGGCATGTGAATTCCTCAGAGGGAGAGCAAGAGGAGAGAGAAAGAGTGAGAAAACACCCCTAATGTGGTATGCTCCCACCTTTAATCCCCCCCTCTCCTGTTCCTCTCCCTGACTAGGTCCCTGGACACAAGTGGATATGTGCACAGCATTGTCTTCAAGCCAGGACTTTATCTGCCCGCTAGCCATGTGGAATCCTGCCACCATAACCACCATGCCACAGTCTGGCCTTAACTTTGTACTTAATTCCATTTTCCCACAAACTTTCTGAAGTCCCATAAGTGAGGAAGCAAACTTGACATGTATCTGGGAAGGAGCTTTACAGTGCTGTGGAGTGGGAACATGATAGTACTGTGAGGAATGAGAGCAGGGTCAGGTGAGGAGTAAGATGAGGTCTAGTCCATGGGTGGAGGTGGGGTGGCGCAGATCATGAAGGTCACAGTAAGGTGGCTGGCTACAGGTACAGAGTGGGCAAACTGCTCAGAGGGCATGGTTCCCACAAGACTGCCCTCACTTAAGACGGCTGCAAGTTCTAGGGTCCTCATGACCACCTTCCAGTGAGTAATATGCTAAAACTTGCAGAACTTGTGTAAACACTAAGATTACAGGTTCATTTTAGCAAAGGGACACATGCCAGCTGTAAGCAAGATGTAGAGGGCAGACCGGTTCATACGTGAAACTTACCCTTCTCTGGTGGAGTCCTGGCTGCCTTCTCCAGGTGAAGTATAACACCAAGCTGGCAGGGCTGGCAGGCGGTGTGGTGGTTAGGGCACTGGACTCCCACATGGCTGACTGTGGTTTGAGTCCTAGACCTGGTGGGTTGCTTTCTCACTTTCCCTTTCTCTTTTTCTAGTCAAATTAAAATGATAATAATAATAAATACAAATTCTCTAAAAGAAAATCTTAAAAAAATAACACCAAGCAGGAAAGCTCACCTGAGCTTTGAGTATCCAGCATTTTCCTGGGCTTAATTACAATGCCCGCTGGGCTGACCCTTAGTCTCCAGCCCCTCCCAGATCTCTGAGAATACCTTTAGCCTCCATTTCCACTAGAAGTTGCAGGTCCTGAAGTTCTTGTCATAAATCTTAGTGACTACCTTGTGGCTGAAGTCCTGTCAGGATATAGGGGCCTGGAGATCACCTCCCAGCAGCTGAGGGCAAAGGCCAGACTTCTGGATAAGATTAACAACTCGCACAGTCTAAGGGAGTGGAATAGGCATTGGAAGGTTTTGAGCAGTGACATGGTCTGACTTTGATTTTAGTTGACTCGCAAGCATGGACCTGGGGTGGGCCTTGCCCTCAGGGTCACCTGCTATAGTGTACGGATCTAGAAATTAGACTCAAATTCAGACTTAGTCCTTATTGGCTCACCTTTGTCTGCTTTGTCTTGCAACCCTGCTGAGGCCTGTGAGTGAAGAAGGATCCATGCCTCTCAGAGGTTCTCTGAGCACAACTCCTGAGAAGACCTCAGCTCCTCTTTGCTGAGGTTCCCTTTCTCTCTCCCAACAGCCTCTCCCACTCTAGCTCTTATCTATGGTGGGCCTCTTTTCCATTTTTTTTTTTAGCGAGTTTTTTGCTATAGGGCTTGTGTTCATGCTGGAGAGACAGAGAGACAGCATAAAATCACCCCCCATGGGGCGGCCATGCCACAATCCCTTCTCCATTCTGTAGGGATTTTGAGCAAGCATGCAAATGCACCTGGTGTGAGTTTTAAGCCACCACGTCTTGGACTTGACCAGCAGTTGACTGTGCGGGTGTCAGCGATGTAACCATTACACCATCTGCTGGTCCCAATTGTGGGCCTCTTTCTGAGACTTCCCACCCCTTCCCTGTTCATGGCCTTTCCCAAGGCCCTGGCTCCAGTCTTCTCCACTCCCCCCTTCTGCCTCCTGGTTTCTCTCACCTAGTTTTTGTCATAATACTGCCATAGAGGGAGCCTCATCATGGTTTTGAGCTTTGCAATTTATTGCAGATTTTCACACACACACACAGAAAATATAAAATACACGAGGCATGAACATTATCATTTAGCCATCTTTAGGTGTACAGTTAAGTACATTTGTACTGTTGTGCAACTGTAACCACCATGCATCTCCAGAACTTTCTATCATCCTACACTGAGACCACTCCCATATTTGTTTGGTTTTTGAAAACATTTTATTGTAAGAACATCTTTTTAAAAAAGTATTTATTTCAAGAAAGAGAGAGACAGTCACTCCAACAGTACCCTCATGCCACAATTTGCCCCCAGCCTCAGCCTGCATGCATGCATGTACCCATTGTGTAGAGGGAGACTGGAGGATTTGAAATTGGGACCTTCCTATGTGGCTTTAGCACTGCTTGCCACCATGGTTGGCTGTTATTGTAAGAACATTTGAGGACTATAATTTTTTAAAAAGAATTTTAAATTCAATTTTATTATTTTTTAATATAATGAGAGAGAGAGAGGGAAAGTGAGAAAAGTAAGCTGCCAGGTCTAGGATTCAAACTACAGTTGGCCTTAAACAACATCCGCTCCAAGAATTTTTTAAGTGTATAATAATGAAGGGACTTCAAAAGTTTATTGAATTAAAGTACAAGTTTAGAGCCAGGCTTGTAGCTTAGTAATTAAGAA